TGGCCTGCTGTGTTCATCCAGCCCTGCACCTTGTTGTCAGTGATTCAACAAGGCAGTTGATCACCACCTTCTTCAAGGCAATGTTCTCATTTCATGAATGAATTAAAAAATACTCAGTTGGTAACACACAACATAAGCATGGAGGTTATGCTACGTTTTTCTAAACCACTAGTTGGCCCCTGCTGGTGTACTGTGACCAATTCTGGAAGTTTAGGAGGTGCTGTTGAAAGAATCTTACTGAGTTGCTACAGCTCATTTTGGAGATGATGCACACTGCTGTCACTTTGCATTGCTGATTGAGGAAATGAAAGTTGAAGGTGGTGAATGGGGTGACAATGATTTAGACTTATTCATTGTGGTTGGCGCAGACCTTCTTGAGTTTTGTCAAGTTGCATCTTCAAAGCAAATAGCAAGTACTCCATAACACCTCTGACTTGTGGATGAGTTACTTGCTACAGAATTCCTTGCCTCTGACCTCCTCCTTGAGCCAGGATGTTCATATGGCTGGCCAAGATATGTTTGCTAATAAGCAATGGTTATGCCTTTAAAGGTCAGAAGGAGATGTTTAGGTTCTCTTAGTGATGGTAGAGATGATGTCATGGCTTTGGAGTGGGTACACAAGTGCTATTCTGGAATCTTATCAGAGATGAATGACTTGAGTTGTGAAGAATCTGGAGTGCTTCTTCTTAGGGAAGAGATGATTAAGAGAAGTTTTAATTGATGTGTTTGAATCATTAAAGGTTTTAAATTTTGAAATGGCAAGATTTTATTCATTATAAAGTTCCTTGGAATGCCTGAAGGTCTTGAAAAGCAGTATATATGAATACAATCCTTTTTTTAATGGAGTATGTAAAGAGAAACTACTTCCACTGTTTTGTGGGTTAATGGGCAGAGAACACAGATTTAAGATCAGCAGCAACATGAAGAAATATTATCTTATTCTGCTTTTGTACATGTGCTGCACTCTTTCCCCAGGATCCAGAATGAGTAAAAGACACATTTATGACATGCAAATTAAAATTTGTCCATGTAACACTGCATATTGATATGATCCACAGTCTTGACCATTTTTTGTAAAACAATATATCAATATCATTCCCCACGGAGAGCTAACTAGTTAATGGTAACCACAGATAACCGACCCTTCCCCCTGTGAAGAATACTTCATAATTTCAACAAGTATAGACCCTTCCCTCCCTCATCCCTTTATACTCACCTGACATTAGCCTTGTCTACACCCATCCCAAAGCTGATGGTTGCCACAATCACAGGCACTTTGCCTTCCATCCACTCCTCCTGCACCACAGTGCGCTCTGAATTCTTAAGCCCTGTAAGTACACACAAACTTCAGCTTCCAGAACGTGAAGTACCAGGAAACCTTCCCTCTTCTAAATATTAATTTTCTATGTTGAAACATGCACTTTGTGCACTGTACATGCAACTAGTTTTATTTCATACAGAGAATCATACAACACAAGAAACAACCATTTCGCCCATCATACTTGCGCCAATTTTTTCGCATTGGTATTCATCGGTCCCATCGGCTTTTGCTCCTTCCCTGCATTTTCTTTTATATCATATCCCGCTTCGATTTATGAAGTTTTGGCAAGAATATTGAGAAGAGGAAGCCATTACGGTGAGGCAGTTTTTACTTGAACCACACTGGGAGCACGACCCTAGCAAATCAAATAACTAGGGCCATACACAGAACTGCATCAGCAAATAGGACTTTTATCTAAATTGTGAGGGAGGACACATAAAGAGTTCAAATAAAGGTAATTTTTTTTTAAATGACAATAATAGGGCAGAATGCTAATGGAAAATGATAACCAGACCGTGAAGAAAGTGACTGGGTGTACAAATAAACACCATCTAAGTGTCAGGAAAAATGTCAAAAATAAAACTAAAGGCTCTTTATCTGAATGCAAGCTGCATTACTAACAATATAGATGAACTGCTGGCACAAATAGAACTAAGTAGGCATACGTATGATAGCCATGATGGACAAGGTGAAGAACGATATGGAATCATAGAATCCCTACAGTACAAATAGAGTTATTCGATCCATTGAGTTCACACCGACCCTCCAAACAGCATCCCACCCAGACCCAGTCCCTTATCTTAACTTCATAACCTTATATTTACCATGGCTACCATGGCTAGCTAGCACATCCCTGGACAGTATGCACAATTTAGCATAGACTATCCACCTAACCAGCACATCTTTCGACTGTGAGAGCACTTGACAGAAACAAACGCAGACACAGACAGTCACCCAAGGCTGGAATCAAACCCGGGTCCCTGATGCTGTAAGGCAGCAGTACTAACCACTGAGTCACCGTGCCATCCATATATAGTCAGGGGAACTCTAGAATGCGAGGAAGAAAGAAAAGAGAGGTGAGGTATTTCCAATAATAAAATGAGAAATGACTCAGAAGATCATGATGTTGAATCACAGTGAATGGAGATAGGAAACAGAATTGGAAGGAATTGATTAGTTCCCTTTTCAACAAACACATATTCAAATGAGAACACCACTGCCTTTAACTGGCACTTGTTACCAGTTACTTCTGGAGAAAACAGCACGCTGAAGAGAAACAAAAGATATTGCAGTGAGAGCAGTCATCTGAGCTGGGGGTTGAAGGACATTGCTGGGCCTCTACAGAGGCAATGCTATTCTGTATCTAATCAAATTTTACAAGTCTTTTAAGTGTTTGCTTGGACAGTGCGGAGGGAGTTCACTCTGTATCTATCGTAGTGTCAATGCAGTATCTTTAACATACTAATACGACCAAAGGCACATCTATTATCACATAAGGAGACAATTGAGCAGGTGAACAAACACGGAGTCAAAGATGCTGGTTTTAAGGACCTCCTTAAAGGAAGGGAGGTAGAACAAAATTCTAGAACACACAGCTGATGGCTCTGGCAGCTGACAGTACAGTTACCAATGATGGAATGAGTAAAATTCAGGACATTCAAGAAGCCAGAACTGGATGACTGCCAGGATCTTGAAAGGTTGTAAGGCTGGGGAAATTACAGGGATTGGATGTGCAAGGCCATGGTGGGACATGAAACAAAAATGAGAATTTTAATAATTGCTTAGCCATAAGCTGATGTGGTGGAATCAGGTAATATTACAGAGGAAATAAGCAGTCTTACTGCTGAAGGAGCGTGTGGTTGGACACTCGTGTGGAGATCACACTAAGATTGTGAAGTCTGGTTCAGCCTCAGATAGTTGAGGGAGAAGAACAGAGTTGGTGCAAAGAAGAATGTCTGTGATGTGGGTGAGGTCAACACCAATGGTTTTGTCTTTGCAAAATTTAGTCAGAGGAAATGCCTGCTTTTCCAACACAATGTCAGGCAAGCAGACACTGAATCTGCATTTTCAGGTGATGTTGTCTTTCGGTAAGAAATAGGAGGGTGCCGAGGCTAGATCCTTGAAGGGCACCATGGGTAACAGATTGGAAGCGAGGAGAGAAGTCACTGAAGGTCAGTGTTGGAGGAAGACTGTGTAGATAACCAGTGCGGACAAGTGAAGAAACATGACAAACAATAGCCGTGTTTGTACATACCATGGAAGTATCTGTACATACCATGGAAGTGTCTGATGGCACTTTGTACATTACCATAGAACTATATTTACGAAGAGGGAGAGATCACAATGACTTCTGATCCTGCCAGTTGCATTAGAGCCAATTTGCATTGCCGGAACATGCATTATAGCAGAATCCCCTCATGTCAAAACTCCCAATCATCCACCGTCCAGTGGTGACAGGTATTTAATATATAAAGTGCGCGAATATGTTTAAAACACAGTGAATATACATCTTTATATGTAAATCAATCCAATATTCACACAACAATTAGATACATTCACGATGACTCCTAACACAATGCATTCTTAGTGCTGTCATCTGCACTCCATACCTGCATGGTAAGCCTTGGCTTCCAACCCTCTGCGTGTTAGTTCCTCTGCCAACTCTTGACATCCATCCCTGGTCCGACAGTATATTATGCCACAGCCATCGAATTGCTGCAAGGGAAGAATTGCATTTACACTACAGTTTACTGTCACACACTGGTTCAACTAAAACAGATTTTGGACCAAAATAATAAGGAAACACTGGATCTGGACTGCCCAAAGACCAAATAGTTTCTCTCTATCAACTTAAACACTTCAATCAGATCAGCCCTGAAGAGAATGACAAGTCAAATTTATGCAAACTACCCACATAAACTAGCTAAGATAACAAGGTGTAGAGCTGGATGAACACAGCAGGCCAAGCAGCATCAGAGGAGCAGGAAGGCTGATGTTTCGGGCCTAGACCCTTCTTCAGAAAATATAAACTAGCTACTGACTCCTGGTATAATTTTGGTAATTCAGGGCTGTGCTAGTTCCAATGTATGTATGTTCTGATATACAGCAACCAGAACAGAACTGATTACTGCACATTAGGTCTAACCATCACTTAAAAGTGAGCTAGACAGGAACTTGAGAACGAACATAAAAGGTTTTGAACAAAAGAACAAAGATCATTCAAAAGGCCAGCATAAGCATGAAATTACCTCCTTATGAGCTTTTATTTTTGCTTCTTGTCTATAATTTTCCCCTCTTTGCACTCAGCCTCTTTGACACAAAAAAGATCTAAGTGCCGTTAATGTTTTTAATTGCATTTTCTACCTGTGTCTTGTTTTAATTGTGTCTGGACATCTAAACCTTATTTCTTTCCCAGTTCAGCCTGTCAGCATCAGGACAACAATCCACATTAATTCTCAGACTGGCCAGATTTTTCTCACTCATGCTGTCAACACCCCTTTGGAAATGCCTGCTCCCATCACAAGTTAATGGCACCTGCACTGAAAACAGAAAATGCTGGAAATCCTCAGCAGCTCAGGCAGAGAGAAACAACTTATATTTCAGAGTAATGGCTTTTTGAATCGATATTATTTAAGATATTAGAGGCAATTCAGTTCAGAAGCATACAATATCCACTTTGAAGTTTTGCTCTTCTGTTCAATGGAATTTTCATTTGTTTTCTACCTTGTTCAGCTTTATTGCTTTCTTTACTCTTTTTGTATTTGATCTCAAAGTGAGTATCACTATAGGCTGCTCCCTCATTTGAGAGAGATGGCCGGTGGCAAGTTTAACCTGAGAGTCAGCATGCCTCAAGTGAGGGGAGAAGTTGAAGAGGCACAGCACTCATGGTGAAGTCAGCTGGTACACACCATTGAACCCACAACATTGGCATCATTCAGCATTGCAAACCAGCCATCCAGCCAACTGAGATAACCGACCCATTCTTCATCACAACTAACTCCCTACCAAAATTATTTTATCTGTCTTTCAAGCATAAAGAAACACAAGCTCCAATAACTCAGAGGTAACAATGCATCTCCAGATCCTTCTTCCCTACACTTCCTTCTGACCCCATCTCTTCTTTTATTCTTAGTGCGTGTGGTATATTCAGCAAGTTCTCTGACATTAACCCAACTCTGCTTTGATCAAAGGACTCAGTTTCCACTCTTTATGAACTGACATCAAGGAGTTTGAAGCTCAGCACACACTGAGCTCTTCTTCCATCACCTTTGCCTCTATGTTCACTTCATTGGCTAGAAATCTTCTTTCCACGCAGCATACACCTGTCTCCGGCATTTTCCCTCCAGTAGAACCCCTCCCACTGGCCTCTTAATCTTTTAATTGAGGACTGCCAGCATGATATCAGCCACCTCAATTGTTCTGCACCTGTCACTCAGTCTAACCTGGCCCCCTCTGTTCTCTATAGGTTCAGCTTTTGCATTGTCATCAAACCTGCTGACAAGGGTGTGCTATTCTTATCTGGTTTACCAATCTCTGTAAAGGCTGAATGTCAACTTTCCAACATTTCCTTCAATCTCTCCCGGGCTAGGACTCAAGTCTGAATATTAAGACATTGTACACAGGACTCCCATTGACCTGATTGCCTCTGGAGATCCTCCATCACTGACTTCAAACATGAACTTGCCTCTACCTTCTTCCAAGATCTACACAAAGGTCTGCCCTGGCAGAACTATTGTTCCAGCCTGATCCTGTCTTGCTGAACCAATTTCTTCTAACAGAACTTTCTTTTGTATTTTCTACTTCAGTTATATTGATAGGTTAGTACAGATAGGAAGGTTTCCCTTGAAGGGACGGTTGAGAAAAGATTTGATAAATGTATTCAAAATTGGAAGGTGTAAGGACAGAGTAGATTGGAAGAAACTGTTCACATCAGTGAAAGGATTGGAAACCAGAGAACACAGATTTAAGGTAATTAGCAAACAATGCAATGATACATGAGGAAAACCTCTTTAACACAGCAAGTGGTTAGGAACTGGAATGGCTGAGACTGTGATAGAGCCAGGGTCAATGAAGCTTTCAAAGGGGAATTGGATCATGGTGTGAAAAAGAAAAACTTGCTGTGGGAAAAGGAACAGACAAGAATAGTGCAACATGAATTGCTCCATCAGATATAGGGCACAGACAAGCCAAATGGCCTCTTTCGGTTACCATTGTGCTATTCATCCAGTCTCTTCTCACCTACACAGTGGTTCTTCAGATGCCCCTCCAATACCCTGTAATGTTCCACTTTTCTAGCCTAACAATCACTTAATTCTGAATGCCCAATTTCCCTGCCCCTTGAATCCACAAGGACAGTTTGAGCACCTGCTGCTTCTTCCTTAAAGAGAGGAAGCCCACCCAGTCTCCATTCACCATCCCTCTTCCCCTTCCTCATTCAATTTGTTTACACATTGAACAGCTTTTCCTTCAACTCACTCACATTTCCTCCAAATAAAATTTGTTGCTCTAGGTACCGTCATGAGTTGTAGATATGCTCAGCTTTTTGCAGGAAATGTGGAACATTCCTTGTTCCTGTTCTAATTGGGGATCCTCCCACTCCTTTTGTCCTGGTACATTAATGACTGTATTGGTGTTGCTTTCTGGTTTTGCCCTGAATTGGAAAACTTCACCAATTTCGATTTCTCTCACTTTCATCTGCTCCACCTCGGACTCTTCACTTCTTCGATTCCTGTCTCTAATTCTGGTAATAGGCTATCAACCGATATTCAGTATAAACCCATTGACTTGCAATTACCTCAAACTTCCTCAAACCCTCCTTCATTCTTTAAATTTATGCTCCCAGTATTTCTGTCACAGTTGGTCAGACAATGCAACCTGCGATACTTTAGTACTAATGCTTCAGGTAGAGTTCCCTTTTTCCTACCAAGGATTCTCCTCCCAACCATAACTGAGAGGCCCCTCCATCTAGATTGCATTTTCCACATTTCTGTTCTTTTCCTTTCTCTTCCCATCCAGAACAATGATAGGTTTTCTTTGTCCCCATCTTCAATGCCAAGGCTTTGTCTTCAATGGATCACTGTCTGCCATTTCCACTACATCCAATGCAATGCCACCACCAAACCTCTCCCCGACCACTTCAGTTCTGAAAATTTCTTTGGTCCATCTCCCTATCATGTTAAACCTGACCTTGCCAGGGCATTTTCCATGCAAGTGCAGAAGATGTAACATCTGCCTGCTTACCTCCTCCCTTCTCATAATCCAAGTTCCTGTCACCACTTGCTTTGGTCCTGTATGACTAACTCTTCAGTTTTTTAATCATTTTTACCACCTTCTTTGCCAAGTTAAAATCTGTTGCACGTCTAACTTTTCCCAGTGATAGTAGGAACTGCAGATGCTGGAGAATCCGAGACAACAAGGA